TACACATCTTTGTACCTGACCCTTTACAACGTTGCTTGTCAAAGAACACACCTTTACACATTATGTACCCATTGATACAGATTTATAATCACTGCTTTATGCATTTACCTTTTGAATCATATATTGAAAAAGGGGGGTTACAAACTGTAAGTACAGTAATACTGGCTTTTGTATTCATCTATGTGTTAGCATCAATTCAGAAACAATATGTAATAGCCTTAGAAGTTCTGAGTATTTCTCTTTTCCCAATGAACAGTCACTATAGTACACAGATGCAGATGCCTCCTGGAAAGGACCAGGGAGCCATCAAACATTTTTGTGGCCAGTTTGTAGGATTCTTTGTCAAAGGAACCCAGCTACCTCTTCAGTTAGAGTCCAAAGTCTACTGAAATGGCTTAGGTAAAAAAAAAAAAAAAAGTGAAACATGATTAGTTATTTCTGTGAGGTGTCTACCCTCCACACCTAAGTTTTTTAGCTAAAGCATCAAACAAATCTTAAGCTGCTGATCTATTTCACTCCTAGGAATCCTGTAATCAATCAGCCATCACCAAACTCCTTGTGGCACAGCACCCTCAAATTACTACTTTAGCACCACCACACTGTCTAAACTATTCTGGGATCCCATTATTCACATCGAAAACAAGGAACCTAAACCCAGTGCAGCATCTCTGGCCTGTAGAAATTCTATCATAAAGCTTTCAAGGATGTTGGTAATCATTCACTAATGCTTTTAAAACATACCTTGGTGAAGGGATTCTGCACTAAATCCATCCTTCAGAGAACTGAGCAGCTGTGCACAATAGATCCACATGCTATAAGGAAACCTAGTTGACTACAGGCCAGTAATGAGTGCAGGTTTCTATCAACCAAGCTAACAGACTGTCAGCATGACTCCGAGGTTCTCAAGCCAACATATTAAATCGTCCCTCCTATGGAGTATCAGTATGTCTAATTTATCCTATTCATCTTTTTTGGCCTATTACTTTTAGAATCCACTCTATGTTTGTTCCTCAGACTTGAAACAATGCAAAGTGGCAATATCTTGAAACATTTCTGCAGAAGCATCTCCTTCGGGACCAGGCTGTATGTTTCTTTTTGAGGTAAGCTGGCATCTAAAATGATTGCTGAGAAAACAGTCAGCTTCCTGGGGCAGTAAGTAGAGTGAAGAACGATGGAAGTAGATTTGGAGGAGGAAAGAATAACCAACCAGTTCAACAGTCAAGGTGTTGTCAGGAGCACTGAAGTTCTAAGCTTCCCTTGGCTACAGTTAAAGGATTTTAAGTCATCCTCAAAATAGCTTTGACACTAGCACAGGTATTCTCCTAAACCCTGCCGCTGATGACCACACAAAGGGCTGTTTTACACTTAATATTAGGCTCCCTTGTTTTTTGCTTAAGTACTCAGTGCTAGTTCTCCTCTTCCTAATGTTGATTCCTTTCCAATTTTTCTCTTGAAAAATGACCCGAAAAAAAGTGAATTTATACCTCTAGGCAGAAAAATTCCTCTAAAGCCCCACCCCCTATCTGTCTTAAAATACAGGCAAGTTTGCGTCCCACTTATCTGGTGGCGTATGCCTAGGCAATTCTGACTGTTAACCAGAAGGCTGGCGGCAGTTCAAACCCACCAGGAACTCCTCAAAAGGAAGACTGTGCAATCTACTTCTGTAGAGATACCACCTCGGAAACCCAAGGAAGGGTCGCTATGAGTTGGGATCAACTAGATGGCAGTGAACTTGGTTTTTTACTTTATCTGTATTGCTTTCGTTTAAAAAAAAAAAAAAAAGTCAAGGAAAGATACAATTCAGCATTAAGTCAATGACAAGCTGAAGTTATTTGAAAGAATACTGATCTTACAACGTCTAAGTAAAGAGAAATAAGAGATAGAAATTCTTAATTCCAAACCTAAGAAAAAGGCCGGCTGATCAACAGGTAGAAAAGGCTCTAAGAGTAAGTAAGAAACAGCTGGTTGAACCCCAGTTGTAGTACTCTGGATAATATGTGTTTTCTCATCTTAAAAATGAAGAGAAATAAAGCACTCTGATGGAACTGTTGTAAGAACTAGGTAGTCTGTAAAAAAATACCTAGAAGAGTTTCAAGGAAAAAGGAGGGCTTTGGCACAAATTTATTTCTCCTTCATGACACACCACTAAAATAGTAAGGAAATTTTTTCTTACAGCAAAACCCTCAAGAACAAAGATATGGAAGAGGAGACAACAGCCACAAAAATTGAGAAGCGAAACAGTAGGTAGATTAATAGTAACTGACTTTGCTGACCTGGAAAAACTAGACCCTAATGTAACTGAAGAACAGCACTATGGTTCATCTGTTATAAAAAGGGTCACACTATGAATCAGGGACAACTCAACGGCACCTAACAACAACAACATCGTTAAAAAGCAGGTATTTAAGTGGCATCAACACAGTGCGCTTGTGGGTGAAGGGTAATGGGGTAATCTGCTTAATAATCAGCTGGATCCCTCATTTTACTCTGTTAGTGTAAACCCTTCCTCACATAAGGTCTCAAAAAATGTATCTCACATATCCCATTTATTCTCAATAAGCTAATTAAGAATACATTCCACAAAAATGAAGGAATACATTTAAGAAAGGTATGAGACATAGGAAACATGGACTTCAACATAGGAGAGAGGCAAATGATCTCCAGAATGATGGTGAATGATGGATAACAAATGCGTACCAGCCAGAGAAGGCAATGGACAAAGCAGATTGCTCCAGCGGTGAATTCTTCAAGATGACAGATGAAAATGACAGAATAACAGATACATATGAAGACGTGGAGAAGACAGATATACATCTGGTAGTTTGTGAGTGGATTAGGAGTAGTACATAGAAAACTCGATAAATAAGAAAAGTCGATTATTAACTCAAGAAAGCATCAACAGCAGAAAAATACCAGGTAAGAATAATGTATCACTCAGTTGTGAACACTATTATCTTAATAATGTATTTTTAATGTAATCACAGTCTTAATGTAAACACTGAAATGCAATATAATTATGGTGGGAGAAGGGGCAAGAAGGGAATGTTTAATGGTTGGGAAGGAGGAGAAGAACTATATTCATAGTCGATATCCAAGAAATAATACCTAAAATTAAAGAATCAGGTAAAAGAAATATAAGCATATTATTTAGAATTATGAAAATAACAAAAGAATCAGCTGGAAGAGTTCAAATTGCTTGTCTGGGGGACAGGAAATGGAGAGTGGTGAAAGTAGTGATAATTTTCATTCAGAAAAGAAAAAGAAAAATTCTTGCAGCTCTATTTGACTTTTTACATTTTGTGCATGTGTAACTTTGATTAATAAAACAGAAAAACCAAAAAAAAATATCTAGCACAGTGCCTAGTTGATAAATTCCATAATAAATGTTAATAGTTTTATTATTATAATGACAAGACAAATGATTTCTCATAACACCATTACTTTCATGCTAGGGATAACAATATTTCATTTATAAGAAATGCAACTTGACTTTTTTTTTTTAAACATGATTACTTACTATGCCTAGAATATTTGGACATGCTTAATAAAATAATTTAAAAAAAGTATTAAACATTCCAATTCTGTTTCACTAAGCCAAGTAACTACTTTTATACAATCTACTCACAACTTTTTAGTAATAGAAACGAGATTATTTTAATTCTTGGTATTTAACAGTAACAAGATTTCAACTCTCTAAGACATGCACTACAACCATACAATAGATTCTGTCATCAATATGATGGTCCTGGTACCTTATATATTATGCTCAAATTTTAAATTAAGTCCTGCTTGCTAAAGTGAAAATAGGCAGCCCACGATCATCAAATAGCTCATAGAAAGGAATACAACCAACCAGTAACATGTGAGATAGCTACATGGTTTATAATGAAAGAAATACAAATTAAATACAATTTTTCACTTGTATTGGCAGATAAAATACAAAAAAAACAGGGAAAAAGGTAATACTTACACTGCCCAAGGAGTAGATAGGTGGGGTGGGCACTCATATACTTCTAACCGGAAGTGTAAATTGTACAGCCTTTGAGGAGAGGAATGGGCAATACTTTATCAAAGCTCTAAAAATGCTTCAGCCCTCTGAACCAGCTATCTACTTCTAAAAACTTTTCTTAAGGATATAATGAAGCATTATAATTAAGCATGTACCTGAAATTGGTTACAAATATATACCTTGCACCACTGCTCATAAACTAGACAATCAAAATGTGCAACATGGGAGGAAAGACTGAGAAAATTATGGCACACCTTCCTTGCACAAGGCAGTGGGTTTACCTTCAATGTCATTCTCCTGCACCTGTGCCTCACCTTCTTCCTAACTAGTAGACTCCACTTCCCACTCTGAGGCTAATAATGTCAGATAGTGGCTTTCTCGATTAAGAGAAATTGAAGGAAAAAACTTCTGAAGACTTTGGGAACAGTCCTCTTCACTGATAAAACTGAGATGTGAAAGGAGAAATGTATTTCCTGCCTGTTGGATGTGGTTTTATGAGGATATGAAGTTGGAAGTTATAGCAGTGGCCTCTGTGACCACGAGGGGGAGAGACCTAAAGCAAAACCAATAAACAAATGGCAGAGCCAAAAAACTATCCTTAATGGTATCTCTGAGCTGTATGTGAGCAATAAATGTCCTTGGTTGTTTAAGCTGATTATATTTTGACATTACTACCACCAACCAAAAGCATCCTAACTGTTACAGTCACACAGTGGAGTACTTTACAGTGACTAAAAGAAGTTATGCCACAGAAGTGTATTTATTGAGATTTATGAACAGCAGATGCAAACTTAAAAGCAAAAATGACAACAGTATGATCCCAGTTTTTAAAAACAACTATTTTGGAAGAATTCATTTGCCAAAAAAAGGTCTGAAAGAATATACAAGGTTTTAAAGCCGTTATCTCTAAAAGGTAAGATCTAAATGTTTCTTTTCTGCATATCTGCATTTTCTATCTTTTTCTACAATAGCATGTATTATGATCTTGTCACACTTTTCTGTATCTTCTGTCAAGTCAATGGGATTCTGGGGAGAAAGAAGAGGTAAACATGTGTTCTAATGAGTGATTCTGAACTAGAAGTTTTTTTTTTAATAGGAAAAGTTTTTTTTAATTGTTTTATGAAACAAAATTTGAGATTATTTATTATTCAGTGAATACAGAAGATTAGAGTTTTCACTTTTCTTTGTTACTTAGGGAATCATATCATGACTTTGTACCATTTCGTATTGGAATTTCTTCTGTGAAGCAAAAACAGTCCCAAAATGAAGGATCTTCAGGTGTCATAGGAACAGCAGATGCTATTAAATCATTGAAGGTCAGAATCTTAAACTGCCTTTGGGTAGGTTTAGCATCATCTTGAGATGGAACCTAAACATAGGTAAAAATGTTAAATTGCATATTAATTTTATGATCAATTCTATAATTATGAAAAACACAAAATTATATCTTAATAGTATTAAAAGTATAACATAGTAGGGTTTCTAAAATACAGCTTTTATTCCTTATCTAAATGCTACACGGTAACAAGAGAAACATCAAATAGAAAACCTGGTTCTTGAACTACAATGAATAAATCTGTTCAAAATGTGGATTTACTAAGCCCCCCATCCAGAAATTCTGATACAGTATATTTCAGCTAAATAAGACCTCAAAATCTACACTTTTAACAAAAAGGAAGTGGATTCTGATAGAGGTGGACCACAAAACAAACTTCTGAGTACTACTACTCTAGAGAGAATATCTGGTAATACCTCTGTAACTATGTTGTTGTTATTTGCCATTGAGTCGGCCCCGACTCATAGCGACCCCTCCTTGGGTTTCCGAGGCAGTATCACTACAGAAGTAGGACTGCCCAACCTTCCTTCCGAGGAGTGGCTGGTGCGTTTGAACCACCAGCCTTCTGGTTAGCAGTCAAGTGCCTTAGGCACTATGCTACCAGAGCTCCTTCTGTAACTAAAGAAAATGTTAATTATTTCTTTAGAAAATAATGTATGCAACACTAAATTTGGACTGTATCATATACTGCTAGAGCCTTTGTTCAAGATGCAATGCAGTGTAGACTTTATTACACTACACACACTATTATAGATAGTATGAGGGATTTCTATACTGGTTTACATTAACTCGATCTGATACCTATTTTATATAATTTATACTCACAGCTACCCTATGATATGGTTATTGTCTAAACTCTACAGACAGATAAAGTGAGGATCAGGATGATCAAACAATTTGCCCAAGCTAATAAAAGAAGTTAAAATTGTAGACTCAGGCCCAGAGCCTGCATCATACACTTGTCCTCTTCCTACCATGCCAGGGTTGCCTAACTAGGTTCTACTTAGTGAAATTAAAAGTAGCAAGCATATATGTAGATGTTTCAAAAAGTATCAAGTTCTACAAAAACATAAGATACTTTCAGGGAGTATGAAGCTGGGATTTGAGTAGGCAGGGAAATATCTTCAGATAACAGGTCAATTTTAACATGCCATTCCTCTTTAAGGGCAATAACCTATGAATAATTTTACTCCAATGATGGCACCACTCTAGTTTTCTATAGATAGTGATTCAGGTATATTCATCATGCCATATTTTCTCAAATAAGGACATGGAATATATTTTTATTTATTTTATAGGATCAGCATTCCTTAAACAAACACCTCTCCAGAATCACAACTATAAATAGCCTAAGAGTTCTTGGCTCTTTTTTTTCTTCCCCTCTTATCAGATACTGGAAGAAGAAAATATAAACAGATTGTGATTGGTGCAACTCAGATCAAGGTTACATTACCATATGACATACAATCTTCACATGTTTAATACTTTAACTTCAGGAAAAATTTAGGAAATAATTTTTAAATGAAAAGGGGGCTTAACTTGCAAGATAATTCCATTATCCATCCACCTCCAACTTTGTACCCTTATATTCAACACAGGTTCAGTTAACTAGAAATTGCCTTTTCTTAGCAAATGAATTCTTCTAAAATAGTTGTTTTTAAAAAATGGGATCATACTGTATTGTAATTTTTTTTTCAACTTTGCATCTGCTGTTCATAAATCTCAATAAATGCACTTCTGTGGCATAACTTCCTTTAGTCACTGTTAGATGAATGAGACAGTCACTATTTTGAATTTTACTGAAAAAATGATTACTATGACAATACTATCGATATTTTTTCTTTATTAATAGTTATGTCTACTTGAATGGGAAGAAATAGGTAACAGTTTTCTAAGTTTCTGAGCAATCTCAGATGATCTTGAGGATTTGATCAGGAAAAAACATTTTTATACCTATTTTTACACCGTATTTGCTTCTAGGCAGCATCCTGGTTCTACTTCTTCCAAGACAGATTTGTTCATTTTCTGGCAGTCCATGTTATATTTAGTATTATTTTTCAAAAATAAACAAATAAAACCCCAAATCTCTAGCCTGATATAAACCAAATGATTATTCCCATCCATAAAGAAAAAAAGTCAAAGAAAACCTAAAATCTTACATCATGATGTTTAGATCCATCGGGTTTCCTAAGAGCCACTGCAACAAAATGGTGTTCATCTATTTTGCTCTCCTGGGGGAAGGAAAAAAAAAAACGTAAGATTAGATATGCTTTTGTTTTGTTTCCATTTTTAAATCTCAATGTCTCTCTATATATGCATAGCTTGCTATGTAAGCCATACATACATACACATATATGCATTTATAGATACTTTCCTATCTACCAAACTATTTAAGGATAAGTCACCTAAATGCTGGCCTTTACTAAATACTTCGATGCATATTTCTTATTAGCCATATACTCTTACTTTAACCATGTTGTTGTTGTTATGTGCCATCGAGTCGGACCCGACTCATAGCGACCTCTCCTTGGGTTTCCAAGGTGGTATCACTTCGGAAGTAGATTGCCCCATCTTCTTTCCAAGGAATGGCTAGTGGGTTTGAACCGCCAGCCTTCTGGTTAACAGTCAAGTGCCTTAGGCATTATGCTACCAGAGCTCCCTACTTTAACCATAGTAATCATCATTTTTTGGCAGTCCATGATCTATTCAATATTCTTCACCAACATTCTTTACTAACACCTTAGACTTCTTTAATCTGATTAACTTTCCAACAGATCTTGTCTTTTATGACATTAACATTTTTAAATATAAGCCCCCCCTTAAAAAACAGAACATTGCTCATTTTTCATTTGCCTGAGTTTCTTAATGATTAGATTTCAATTAAGTATTCTTAACAGGAATACACAGTTGATGTGTCCTATCTAGAGGCACAAGATGTCCACCTGCTGCTAAGTGGTGATCTTAATTCTGAATATGTTTATTTTTAAAGGCACATTTTAAAAATTCAGATTGCAACACTGGTGTGTAAGCATTTAGTCAAGACACCTATGACAGCCTATGGAAAATTATAGTTGAAATTTGTAAGACTTGAATATGTAATATTCTATTTCTCCTATGTATCAGACAAAAAGAGAGAGGGCTTGAAAATACCTCAGATAATAAGCTAACAGTCATTTTTCACTAAGGCATTTTTCCAAAAGATTTCAGTTTAAATAGAAAACTCTATATAGTCAGAGACCTTTCATCCTTTATCCTCTTCTTTAGATCTCAACACTTTAACATACTCAAGATAGATAAAAATAAAATTTTTATCAATCAGTTTAAGATAATATGTTTAAAGAGAAAAAGAAAAATGATTAAGGATGAGACAAAGTAACTTTGACCCATGGGTTAAAATACAAAAATATGGCATACAGGGCATAGCCCTCATATGTATAAACCAAACCTACTGCCACCAAGTCGATTCTGATTCATAGTACCCCCACTGGGTTTCCAAAGCAGTAAAACTTTACAGAAGCAGATTGCCAATCTTCCTTCTGCAGAGTGGCTGGTGGGTGCTAACCTTCTGGTTAGCACAAATGCCTTAGGCACTATGCTATGAGAGCTCCTATACAAAGAATAAGAACACTAAAATATATAGAGATGTTTTAGCTATAATTACTGTTGGAAAACCATTAGAATTAGCAGTTCTTTAGTGTCTACATCTGAAGTGCTTATCATAGATAACTGTGGACAATAACTAGTTTTCATTCAGCCTATCAGCTAAAATGCCAAGATGCTTAAAATTTATCCACTGAGCTTGTCACAAGCCAAACTTCAATGAAACTTGTTTAAAATAAATCACATTTACAAAGACCTTCCCAGCATTATATTGACTATGAAATTTCCCAAACCAAAACTAGAGAAACTAATTTAAAATGACTCAGTTATCAAACTGTGCCCTGTACGTCACTGTTTTAAGTTGAATTTTGATGATGTTAACTATTATCTAATGTCCCACTAGAATGAAAACTCTTAATAGGTCAGGGATTTTGTCAAAGTGCCTAAGGTATTTGACTGCTCATCAGAAGGCTGGCGGTTCAAACCCCCCAGCCACTCATTAGAAGGAAGATTGGGCAATCTACTTCCGCAGCGATATCACCTTGGAAACCCAAGGAGGGGTCTCTATGAGTCGGGATCGACTTGACGGCAGTGAGTTTGGTTTTGGTTTAGGGCAGTACTTATAATAAATATTACTTTTAAAAAAACGAATGAAACAAGCAAGCTTACTATCTAGTTAGCTAGCTTATTTGAAGATACTAATCTTAAAGACTTTAGGTTCTTAAAGTTTCAAGATATTTCTTAGTTTGCAATTTTTTATATATAAAAACACTGTGAATACAAAAATTTTATAGTCTCTGCTAAACTCAAGGAGAACAAGAATATCTCCCGTTTTCAGGAGATAGTTTAACAATAAATTAATGTGATTAATCTATTTCAGTAGAATTATATATATATTTTTAATAACCAAATACCAAACTCACTGCTATAGAGTCAGATTCAACTCATAGCATATCTTCTTAATACACAGTGTACTTTCTTAATACATATTTCATTTAAAAAAAATAAAAGTTACCCGATTGCTGAAAGAATGATATTCAGAGACCAAAGCAAAGTTTAAACTATAACAGTCAAATTTTACTATTTTTTCCAATGGTTAAATATTGAAAAAGTATACTTAACATAAATTTAATTTGTATTTCTAATTCATAAATTATACTTAATATTTAAGGTTTTTCCTTTGAAAAGCAAGTAAACTTTCTATTTCAACTAATGGCATCATGTGAGACTTTGGGAGTAATTTTCCTAACAAAAACTGGTTATGAAAACTGAGAACCTGTGAAAATGAGATTTTCCCCCTTGGCAAAGAGTTCCTACTCTTTTTCTCAAGTATTGTTTTTTCTGGTGTGACACCCAATAGTCAAGTAAGTGGAAAATCGTCTTGATTTGTTGCAATAAATAATGGATTCTTGACTATGTCCAAGCTAATGCTTTAGGTCTGTAAGAGATATGACCCCTGTCCTCAGGGAACACTGGGAAAGCAAAACTATTAGATCATTTTAGAAAATAGGAGGCAAAAGAAAGTGGCACTGTGGTTAAGGCACTGGGGCTGCTAACCAAAAGATCAGCAGTTTGAACCCACCAGCTGCTCCATGAGAAAACAGTGAGGCAGTCTGCTTCTGTAAAGATTTACAGCCTTGGAAACCCTATAGAGGTCAATATGAACTGGAACTGACTTGATGGCAGTAGGTTTGGTTTTTGGTAAGGAGAAAAAGGATAGTCTTAGAGGAATTAAAGAGAAGGCACCTGAGTTGATCTTAAATTGTTAGAGAAGGCAGAAAGGAAACTGAAGGAGTCATGCAACAATTAGTACAAGTGAATATAAACAGGAAAGGGTTGGGAATATTCAAGGAAAAGTGGACTACAATTTGGCTACAATGTAGAATATGTATAGGGAAATGATAACTAAAAACTGAAGATGGCTGGTTCGATACAGTGGAATTGGAGTCAGATTAGGACACTAATGCAACAGTCCAAGTCAGATATAAAGGGGACCCACGCTAGAGAAATGTCACAGACCAGATGGGTTTTCAGACGGCACCATGTGATGCTAGCCAGAGGAGAGTAAGGAGGGACAGGCCGAGGGTCTGGGCGTTTTCATCTCGGATGACAGATAGAGACATCGTTAAAATAAACGCAAAGTTAGAGATAATAACTTCAAGGGCAATTATGATTTTGACTTATCAGTAGAATGTGAGGTGTTTGTGGAATTTTCAGACAGAAACCCACAGCAGTGAGCAACAGGAGTGTAAAGAATGGAAGAAATTGAGACTTGGAGCAATACACAGAAAGGTGGAGTGCTCAAGACTGCTAATACTGACAGCTTTACCAACGAGAAGGGGTGAAGACAGACGCTTTGGAATTGTCTACATTTAGAAGTAGCAATGAAGTATACTTCTTAAATGTATCTGTCCCAGGGTTTAGTACTCTGCCCTCTTTTTTATACACTATTCTTGATGATCTTATACACTATTTATCTTCCACTAAGAGCTCTTTTAATGATGGGTCATTTTCCGAAGACTCTCAGCTTCCTCTTCACAGAAACAACCTCATTCTGCATGCTAATCAAAGATACCAAGGAGATGTTAACTTTTTTAAATCTTCCTCATATCTTTTTTAATTTTCACAAATTTCTTCTTTTCAATTTTCAAGCAAATAAGCACTTCTTTTTTTGGGGGGATGCACTATTTTACCATGTATCTCGTGATGACATTATCCTTTGTTTATGTTTGAATAAAGATTATCTACTTAGCCTTCTGCATCATTTACTTGGGTACTGTTGTTGTTATGTGCCGTCAAGTTGGCCCAGACTCCTAACGACCCTTCCTTGGGTTTCCGAGGCAGTATCACTACAGCAGTAGAGGTACTGTTGTTGTTATGTGCTGCCGAGTCAGACCCGACTCATAGCGACCTCTCCTTGGGTTTCCGAGGCAGTATCACTATGGAAGTAGATTGCCTCATCTTCCTTCTGAGGAGTGGCTGGTGGGTTTGAACCACCAGCCTCCTGGTTAGCAGTCAAGTGCCTTAGCCACTATGCTACCAGAGCTCCCAATAGAGGTACTAGTAGATACTTATTCCCAGATCCAGACTGGAACTTAGTTATTATATGCATCCTCAACCCTGTTTCTGGTTCTTCACATGCATTCTTTAAATGCTGCCTGCAGTATAAGACTTTTTTTTTTTCAGCTTAGCTCATCTTATTTCACACTATGTAAAGGAGAATGCATCAGAATCTGAGGCATGTCACAGTCTTTATTGATTACATACATTAACTGATAAACCACAGTCCCTGACATGTACTGCTTACTAGGTACTTTTCCTGTCTCCAACCCAGGCAACAGTACTTTCTGTAATGATCTGTGTAGTTAGTCTCCAAAGTGATATGGAATAAAACCTAGACAGGAGGCTAATGGGAAAGGGTACGTAGATATGACTAGCTGTTTCAGGAAGTAGATAATAAGAAGAAAGGAGGGGAGCAAAATTCTGTCAAACTGCCCAGTGCAGATCACTCATTTATGCATAAAAAGAGGAGAGGAAAGGAGTTGAGTATGACTCTTCTTCCTACTTCATTTCCAGTCTGAAGTGAAGACTCCACAGGGTTAGAATACAAGACAACTTCATTCTCTGACCA